CAAAGGCTTTGGCGTTCCTCTCTGGTCCAGGTCCTGGGAGACATCTTCCAAGGATGAGATCTCCAAGTCACTCTCATCCTCAGAAAGCTGCAGAGGTAAAAGAGGAGAAGAAATTTGATTTTGATAAATGCAGGAGGATGACAGAGAGTTCAGCAGCATCCCAGATAGAAATGGGGGAAAGTGATTCTTCCGAGTAAAGCCATGGGGAGAGGTGACTCCTGGTCCTGCCCTCCAAGCTCCCTGCCTCTGAAAACCTGCTCCAGAGACTCGGGGCCACAGTGGTTGAAACAGGTCTGGCATCCTCCTGAGGCCAAGGCAAGCACCTTGGAGAGATTTACGTGTAGATCTGGTTGCTCACGTTTGCACTGAAACCTGGGCAGTCTGCATGTTCACAGCATCATCTATCAGCATTAGACTACTAGGGCCCACTCAACAGAGGAGAGGGAGAGCTTGGAGACGGTTACACGTGCTCCATGATAAAACCAACACAGTATGTAATAAAAAGGTAGATGAGGGGTAATATTAGACGCAGATTTTTAACTCCTCGCATTGACAAAACTGGAAGCCCAGGGCCTTTAACTTTTGAAGCTCTTGAGATGAATGCACCTTAGTCGAAAGGACTCTTCCTCACAGACTGGTGCTCAGAGCTGCCTGGTAAACATTAAACTTGAGAGGAGATGGGAAGCAACAGGACACCCTGGAATGGGCCTGAGCTGCAGCCAATGATAAAACTAAAGGCTGCTGGGAGGTCAGGCTACATCCAGACCACAGTAATAGCCCAGGCCAGGAGTTCCCACCCAGGGTTTTCAGTGCCTCTGGGGGCTGCCTGGGCTTTGACATAGGCCATTCCATGTATTTCATCCTGGCATGTAAAAAGATACCGTCCAGGGCCTAGACGGCCTCTCTGTCTATTTTAGACTATGGTGCTCTTTCTCAATGGAGAACAGGAGAGCTTGGAGCACTTTGCATAAATGCCAAGATAAACCAAGCACACCGTGTGATAAGAAAAGGGATGTAGGGTGCTACTATAAAACACAAGTGAGGAACTAGCGCGACTGCTCAGGGACAGTGCCTGCTTAGCAAGTGGAGGCCCCAGGTTCCATCAGCAGCACTGAAAAGACCATTGCTCACTGCCACTACTGTTGCTTAGGGCAACATCCTCATCATCGCCAAACGGACCTCTTCGGTTGACAGGAGCGAAATGAAAAGCATAATTTATTCTCCTGTCCTAGAAAATAACAGAACGTGGCACCTGTTCCCCGATGGAGGGAGAAGGTGACAAAGAGTCTGGCACCCATGTGAGGGCTCTGTCTGCAAATTCCACGGCAGCTACAGCCTGAGGGAGGCCAGGCCACCAAGATGTGCAGTGGGGAGGCATCCACCTTCTCGAACAGATGGAGCAAAGGTGTCTGCGTTTCCCTATCTGATGTGCTGTGTGGCACCACTCTGATGGCGGATAGTGTTTTCCATCCAGCCTTCTGTTGGGGTCTTCTGTGAAGTCAGAGCTGGGGAGGGGCCCAGCACGGAAGAGACCACATGGGAAGATAGCCACGACAGGAGGCTCACAGCAGCAGGAGACCAGAAACTACATCTCCTCGGAAAGTACTTATCTAACGAACCAAAGGACTTCTTAACATTAACATGGGCAGAGAAAAAAATCTGAAGTGCTCATCTTTCCACATAGATAGGGACAAACGAGACAACGTCACATGCAATGTCCTTCTCGGGTCATGTCAAAGCTCATACTTGCTCAGTCTTGTCCCAACCTTCACCCCAGAGCCCTCAAATTCGGAGCTGGCTCTCTGTGGAATGCAGGGCCATCTTCAAGCATCCTACCTGAGACTTCCTTGCTGGTGTGGAAGACCTCTGTAGGGCAGTGTTGGGCCTTAAGAACACACTGACCCCTCCAGACGGCTTCTTTGCTGGAGTTTCAAGCTGTTTCTCAAGGTTTTTTACCATCGACTGCACCAGTGTTCCTGGAAGGGGGCAAGTAGCCACGTCAGTGGGGCAGGCCTGGAAAATGAATGCTTCGTCCCTTTGGACTGCATCTAGACCCCAGGGTAGACAGATGGAGTGGGGGAGAATCAAGAGGAAGAAGACAGGATTAGCAACTCCCCTCCCCCAAAGAGGGAAAAGGACACAGAGAAGGTCCAGGCTAATACTAGCCTGGTTATAAGCAGCTTAGAATGCCTTGATTACACACACACACACACACACACACACACACACACACACACACACACATTCATATATATGAATGTCTTCTTAATGTAACTGCTGACTGGACTTATGACAGGCTGCTGGTGGAACTGTCCCGAATGAATCTGAGGGGACTTTCTGTTTAATTCATGAACTACAAAAATTAATGTACAGTCAGGCGATGTGTGATGGTTAATCTTGTCAACTTGATTGCACTGGAAATGGTTGAGGGAATTAGTAGAGCACACCTCAGGTGTGTCTGTGAGACATTATCAAAGGCAATTAGGTCACGAGGGCTCTAATCTAATCGGTGGATTGATCCCTTGATAGATTCATACTGGGGTGACTAGAGGTGTGGGGAAAGGTAGAAGGTGGGAACCACTTGGAAGAAGTAGGTTACTACCCTTTTTCCTGTATCCCTTTCTCTAGATTCCTGTCTGCCAGGGTTTGATCTGCTCCACAGATCCTACAAGGATGTACTGGTATCTGGAAAACCATGCACCAAAATAAATAATTCCTCCCTTTAAGCTTGGGTTAGTTCTTGGGTATTTCAGTCACAGTAAAGTGACTCCTCTGTCTTCCTTAACACCTCCACCCACAGACAAACATAGATCAAATATTAGTATCACAGGCACAATTTCCTATGAATTCCATGCAGGAAGCAGGAGTTAATCAGTAACTCAGATCATCAATGGGCCCTGACTCACAGCATGAACATCACACAGCTCTCTGGACTCAAATGCTAAGGCTCTTAAGGCAGACTTTTAGAGCTGCAACAGCCCTTGGATGATTGATCATTGTGTTTATTGGGGCTGGAAAGATGGCTCAGTGGTTAAGAGTGTCTGCCTCATTTGCAGAGGACCTGAGTTTGATTACTATCAGTCAGCTCACAGCCACCTGTAACTCCAGGCTTCAAGGGATCTAACGCCCTCTTCTGGCCTCCACAGGATCTGCACTCACTTGCGCATACCCACACACAGACTTACACATAATTAAAAATAAAATGAATCTTTAAAAGACAGAAATGTTTATTAAATTCCTACTATGTGCCAAGCACTTTGTTTTTTGACCTCTTACTAATCGTCTTGTTAAAATATGTCATTTTACAACAAAGAAACCAGAACCTTGCACAAGGACAGGCAAGGAGTAACAGAGCCAGAGTTGTATGAAAGACTAGTGACTCCCAGTTCTAACATCTCTCCATCTTGTCCTCCCAGCTAAGGTATCAAGCCTCCAGAAAGCTAGTCCTGGTGCCTTCTGATGGGTTCACAGGCTTGGATTATGCTGCAGACATGAAGAAGCATTGCAGAGTCCATTAAGACACGTGCTAACAGACTGCAAACCCCACAGCTTCTCCTTCTGGTTTTGGAAAGTCAAAACTGTAAGCCCCATGTTCCCCAGCTTAGCCTGAGCTAAGAAACACAACCTGAGGCAGGGGCCTGGCTTCTGTCAGCAGTTTTATAAGGGGACTTGAATGGCTAGGAGCAGACGCCACTACTTTGAGAAGAGGAATGTTCAACTCATCGTTATAATCGCCTACCAGATAGAGCGTGGTAAGTTTTAAGAATAATTCACTCCAATTACCAGAAGGCTTAGCTTAAGTCTCTATAGATTCCTTTTTATCAACAAGTTGCCTCCCTGCCTGTCACTGAAGAAAATGCCAAAGAACTTCCCTACACAGATAAAATGCTGCTGCTGTCCAAAGACTGTTGGTGGAGATATACTCAGGGCTTCCAGGTACCTTCTGTTTCTCCCATATAGCCCCGAAGGGATCTATTCCTTAGATGGTCTTCTCTACTAAACAAAAGGAGTGGGGAGCTCCCCAAACGTCCAACATTTAGACAACTCAGTGACAAAAACAAGGGGCAAAATTACCCTCGCCCAGGTCTAGCTTCCGCCTGGCATTTCTGAGACGAAGAAGATATGCCGAATCAGAACTCCCTGGAAGAAGCTGAAGGGTTTTCCAGGGCACAGAGAAACTGAGGCCGGAGAAGGACTCACCTGAGGAAGCCAGCCCACCGGAGCCCTTGCCGGAGGGCTGGGCGCTCTCCTCCGAGGTCTCAGAATCAGACCAGCCCCATTTGTCCTCCGGCTGGGGCGCAGGCCTGGAAAGAGCTTTGGGGGGCTGAAGAGACACTTGCTGCACAATGTCTTCTTCTGGCTCCTCTTCAGAACTAAAAGGGGGGGTGCTGCTGCGAGATGAAATGAAGGAGGGAACAGGGGCCAGAAAGAAAAATTCAAAAGCCAGACTTTGGCCTTTTGGTTTGCCCCAAGCCAGCCCTGGCTCCCTTTCTCAGGCAGAGGACAAAGCCCAGAGTACCCGAGGCCCTACCCTTCCACTGTAGCCAGGGGTTGGAGAAAGAGGTGGGAAGGGGAGGGGAGGTCTGCCCGGACTGTGAGTGAAGGATCCCCCCTCTCTTCTCAGAGGCTCCGGATGAACACTACCTGAGGCACCTTCTATATTCATGTCTGCCCCCATCCCTCCCATGTAATGCAGAGCTCTGTGAGGGTCTAGGACAGGCTTCCTGAGGCCAGAGGCCATCACCTCAGACCCTACAAGAGGGCAAAGCCCAGAGCTCACCTCAGCCCGGGCCCAGGGGAAACAGGGGTACTGGAGGGTCCATGCACTCGGGGGCGTGGAATGGGGGTGGACACCTGGGTGAGGCCAGGGCCATGGCTGCTGTGGCTCTGAAGAGCTGGCGTAGAAGGCGGGGCTGGCTTGGATGGCAGCACCACGTTCAGGGTCCTGGTCTTTGGCCGGGCCTCCCGTGTGGCCAGCGCGATCGGCTGGCTTTTGACTACGAACACAGAAAGGAATGACTTGCAAAACATGCCAATGCTGGGCCTGTAGTTCTGAAATAGAGGCAAGTCTAACACCAGAGATGATCAAGCCAAGCACAGTTGACAGCTGCCCTATATCCTGAGTCCCTCTGCTAAGACAAAGCTCCAGTTTCCTTAGAGACTGGGAGGGTATTCAGTCTCCAGGTCACGCCATCATTACAGAAGACCAGAGAAGTCATTCTGCAGACCCAGGCCGACTTTGGTCACAACCTTAACTACTCAGAACCTTGAATGGGAGAAAGCCTGCAGGAAAACTCTGCTGCCACCAGAGGTCGCTGCAAGACTACATAACTACCAA